CCAGTACCCTCACACACAAACAGCACCCTCACACACAGTACATTAACAGCACCTTCACAAGCGCACACACAAACAGCACCCTCACACACAGTACATTAACAGCATCCTCACAAGCACGCACACACAAACACCCTCACCCACATAGCACACTACCAGCATCGTCACACACACATCACACTAACAGCACCCGCACACACACACACACACACAGCAGTGTGTGTATGTGTGTATATATGTGTATGTGTATATATATATATATATATATATATATATATATACACACACACACATACATATATATATATGTGGCGTGTGCTTGTGCTTTAGGGTGCACACCCTAATGCAATAGGCTGCGCACGCCTATGTCTATACAGTACATTGCGTGCTACTCTGTGGTGCTTGCGTTGCCAAATAAAATCGCCTATGGACCTCTGCAAGGGGGCTAGGTGTGTTTTAGTTATGGGTATGGGAAGCGCTTGAAAAAGGAAGAGGAGTCTCGGGAGGATGTTCATTTTTATCGTATGGACCCGCCCGATCCAGGATATTGGCTTGTCAGTCCATCTGTCAAGGTCTGCCTTAAGGGTGCGGAGGATTGGTGTGTAATTCGCCCCGTATAGTTGTGAGGGGTCAGCGGTGAGTTGTATACCCAGGTATTTTATGCAAGTGTGCGTTATGGGTATATGGTGTTGGGTGCTTATGTATGTAGCGTCGTGCCTTGTCATTGCGATTGGTAGTGCGGCCGATTTTCCCAGGTTAACCTTATATCCCGATAAGGCTCCGTAGTCTGCTAATTCTTTATCTAAGGCGAGCATTGAGGTCCTTGGGGTTGTAAGCGTGAGAAGGACGTCGTCCGCATAGCCTGAGACTTTGAATGTTTGGTCCCCCACTGAGATTCCGTGTATTAATTGGTTCAATCTGATCGCATGCATTAGGGGCTCTAAAGTGATGACAAACAGGAGGGGAGACAGCGGGCAACCCTGGCGCGTGCCGTTGTGTAAATTAAAAGGGGGTGTCTGGGCGCCCGTAATCTGAATGTGTGCTTTAACGTCCGTGTACATAGCTTGGATCGTGGTAATGTACCGTTCGGGGAAGTGGAGATGTCGAAGGAGTTCGAATAGGTATGTCCAGTTTACCCTATCGAACGCCTTTTCCGCGTCGAGAGAGAGCATGAGCGTTGGTGTGCGTGTGATCGTCTGCGTCCAGATTAAGTCAATGTTGCGCCTGGTGTTCTCAAATAACTGTCGTCCGGGGACAAAACCCACCTGGTCCGCATGGACCAGGTGTGTTAGGTGTGGAGACAGTCTATCTGCTAGTATTTTGGCTAGTATTTTAACGTCTTGGTTGATCAATGATATGGGTCTGTAATTTTCAGGGTATGTTGCGTCTTTTCCGGGTTTGGGTAATAGTATTATATGGGCCGTGGACATATCTGGGTCTGGTCGTCCATCCTGCATCAAATAGTTGAACCATTTTAATAAATGCGGTGTCAGTTCTTCTCGGTATGTTTTATAATAGCTGCCCACATAGCCATCGGGGCCCGGGGCCTTATGCCCGTTGAGGCGTGATATCGCTCTATCTATTTCATCTGCTGTGACCTCGTCGCCTAAAGACTCTATTGCTACAGGGGTCAACTTCGGGAGGTCTAGCTTGCTCAGGTATTGTCTTATCTCATCTCGTAGGTGCGGTATTTTGTCAGCCTCGGTAGGTGTGTGATTGTATAGGGTTGTATAAAACTCTGTGAATATCCGCGCCGGTGTCTGCCGGTGCCGTTTTGATCTGACCTGCGCGATCCCTAAGTGTAGTGATGTGTGTTCGGCGTGGGCGCGGGCGTAGGGTGCGGGCCAGAAACGTGTGCATTTTGTTAGCCTGTTCATAATATGTTCTTTTAGACCAGAGCATAGTTTTCGCTACGTCTGCCACTAAAGTCTCCTTTATTTGGCGTCGTGTAGTCTGTAGGGCCAGAAACCCATCTGGGGTGGGGTTAGTTTTATGTCTCTGCTCTTGTGTGTGTAAGTCCCGTAGGAGGGACTTTAATTGTTGTGTTTTCAGTTTCTTTTTCTTGGTGGCTTCCCTTATTAGTGTGCCTCTGATAACCGCTTTGTGAGCAGCCCATACCGTGGCGGGAGTTAACTCTGGAGAGGAGTTGAGTTGGAAATATTCTACGATCTCTGTGCGAATAGTCTCTCGAATAGTAGGGTCCTGTAATAGGGACGCATTGAGCTTCCAACTCCATGGAGTCGCGGTGCAGAGGTTTCCTAATTCTAAGCTAATGTCTGCATGGTCTGACCATGTGATAGATCCTATTGTGGACTTCGTGATCTTTGGAATGGCATGGTCATTTACTAAAAAGTAGTCGATACGGGAGTACGAGTCATGTGGCGCAGAGTAGAACGTATAGTCCGCTTCTCCCGGGTGGTGGGCCCTCCACACATCTATCAGACCTGTGGAGCAGAGGAAGTCGTGGATCAGTTTGTCTGACCTTCCTCTGCCGTGTGAGCGCGGCAAACCTCTTATGCTGCCTCTGTCTATAGCTGGGCATGGGGCGGCGTTAAAATCGCCCCCCATGATAAGCATACCATGAGGCAGGGTGTGTAATTTGTCAGCCAATTTGTCCCAGAAATCCCTAGAAGGGTCTGTGGGGGCATAAATATTTATGAGATGGATCGTGTGAGCAAATAGCGTCCCTGTCAGGATAAGGTATCTGCCGTCCGTGTCTGTGTGGACCCCCGTGACTCGCAGTGGGCATCGTTTATGTATTAGTATCGCTACACCGTTGCGTTTGGAGTGCGATCTAGCCTCATATCCTGTGCTATAAATGTGGTCCTTGAGAGTTATGCCCAGGGTTTTGGGCAGGTGGGTTTCTTGTAAAAAGGCCACATCTGGGCCTAGTCTCTTAAGTTCTCTATATAATAGTCTACGTTTTTTTGGGGCGTTTAGTCCCTTAACATTTAGAGAGTGTATGTGTGTAGACATGGTGGTGTCGTAAGTGTAAGCGCGTGGGCTACCTTACTGGTGACTTCCTCTGGTGGGCCTTGGGGTTCGTCCTTTGGGGGACCCTGTCCCTCTGGTGTTTCATATACCGCTTTCGGGTCGCTCCGGCCGCCACGAGGGGGGAGAGGGGAAGGTAGGAAGGTTAAAGAGAGGTTGTTAACCATATCATAAACATAAACATATATACAATAAACGTTTGAACTGATAAACCGTCTGGTCTTATCCCTTGCCAGACTTGCGCGGGGCATCTGCAACAGCGCCTCTGGCCCTCCTGAAGTGGGGTCAGCTCGCGGATGCATGGTCCCGAACCTGAATGAATTTGACCTGAGGCCCATTAACGGTTGTGTGAGCATGTCTGCGGGGTTATCCCCGCCTCCAGGCCTTCCCGCCAGTCGGTCCCTACGTCGCCCAGGGGGTTGGGGAAAGTCCCATTCCGCTTAGGGGTCGCTAAGTTGCTGGAATCTTGTCCAGAAGGGGCGGTGGGGAGTGTATGTGGGTCCCAGCGGGCATGACGCCCCGACTCAGTCTCCCCTAAGTGCGGGAGTGCCCCCGGGAGTGCGTGTACAGCAAGGTGTTGTGTATTTTCCCCTGTTCGCATGTGGATCCTATCATGATCGGTCTGTGTCTGTTCTGGATGGTCCGTATAGTATATTTATAAGAAATGGCCCACGGGCCCCGTGGGACCGGTGTTGGCGACCGTTCGGATGTCGTGTCATCGGTGCCAGTCCGTGGGCCCCGGTAAGGGGGGGGGAGGGCGGTTCAGCAGGGGTGAGAGTCGCTAATGTCAATCTTGCAGCCTAATAATCTGGAGGTCAAGCGCCTGGAGAAAAGCCGCTGCGTCCCCATCAGGTGGCAGGATCTTTGGTCTGCCATTCTTGAACGCCATAAGCTTAAAGGGATGGCCCCATGCATATTTTATGTTGTGGGTCCTGAGGATGTCGGTGATCGGTCGCCATTCTCTGCGTCTCTGGAGTGTCGTTGGGGCTAGGTCCTGGAACAGTAGCAGAGTGCTCCCTTTATACTTGATAGGGCCGTCTCTGCTATTCTTCATTATAGTTTCTTTTGTTTGGAAATGCTGGAAGCGCATAATTATATCTCTCGGCTGTTTGGCATCTACCTTCCTGGTTCCCAGGGCCCTGTGAATCCGGTTCAGATGCCACAGTTGGGCTGGAATATTTGGTGCTAGGGGTTTTAGGATCGCCATGACTGTATCTGTCAGGTCCCCCTTCCCCTCTTGTTCTGGCAGGCCTCGCAGCCTGATGTTGTTTCGGCGGGAACGATTTGCTAAATCTTCCAAGGCTGTCTCTGCTGCTATTAACCTGGCTGTGAGGTTATTCACCCTGCCTGTTACCTCATTGTGTGCCAGGACTGTTGCCTCTTGCCTGTGTTCCAGGGCTGCTGTGCGGTGTCCAAGTGCCGCGATCTCGGCTTTCACCTCTGCCGCGGACCTGCTTATCTCCCCTGCCAGGTAAGCCTTTACTTCCAGCAGCTGTGCCAGAATCTGAGAAGTCTCCTCAGCTGGTATAACTTGTCCCCTGGGGGGCTCCGGGTGCTCGCGTGCTGGGGAGGTCCTGGGACTGAGGCGGCCGCCATCTTGCCTTGCAGGCTGATTTGCGCGGGAAGCGGTAAAGAGGTCCGCCACTGTAGTGCCCGGCTCCGACGGGCGCTTATGAGGTTTCCGTGGGGTCCTTTTATCCATGCCGCAGCCGC